TATATATATATAAAATTAACAAAACAATAAAAAAATGTACTAAATTGTAGTTCAAATTTGCCAATGGGATTGTTTTCGAACTTTGGTTTTTGTAGATCATCTCTGCACCCCCAACTTGGTGTTTTGTGACCCACACTGGGGCTCTGATCCCCAGGCGTTGAAACCAATAATTTAATAAAACAAATCTGCCAAAATACAAAATATTAAACCAAATTTGAGAAATAATCCATGAAAAATATCCATAAACATGATTCTTTTGAGCATAACAAAAGCATAACGATTTTCTATGTGTGTGTTGAAGAAAGCGAAATTCAACTGGGACCCAGAGACCGTGGGGATGATTCACGGATCCTTCTTCTGGGGTTACATCGTCACTCAGATTCCAGGGGGATACATCTCCTCCAGACTGGCTGCAAACAGGTAAAAACCCTCCATCACTGTCCAGCAACAACTGTAGGTGGAGCGTCCTTGTCTTTTATTTTAAAGAAATGTGTAGTGCTTAACTTTTGCTCGTCAGTCATAAATATGTGAGCATGAGGTTTGAAGAAAGCAGCAGATGAGCAGGGGGATTTGGCTGATGCCCGCCAGGCGTGCCTCCTCATGTTAATGAGCCCCTTTGGGACCACCGTGTCTAATCCTTTATGTTGAGACGCATGGCAACCACCAGCAGCCAAAACCTCATGTGAAATCTGCTCCTAGGTGACGATTGTACAGTTTCACTCAGCAAATATTGCTCACCGTTTTATTTCACTGATGAGTAGATGGAGCAAACAGGAAACAAAGCACCGGAAGTCTTTAAATATTTTATTTAAATAATCCCTTCTTCTGAAGTATAAAAAGGACATTTAACACAGAACTGGATGAGACATATTATTCTGTGTTTTCACAAGTCGTTAAACTATTTCTATATGAGCTCAGCCTAAATGCAAACCTTTCATCAAGCCAAGTCATCTGATGCTTTTTGTTGGAAACACCCCCCCCCCCCCCCCCCACCCCCCCCCCGGAGACTAAATAACCAGATTGGGAGGGGATGTGTGACACTGCCCTTAATTCCTTCTTTTTCCGAATTTTATACAAATTCAATTATATAAAAATTTGTATTTTGAAAAGTGTTTTTGCAGAATGTCCACTGGTGAATTGTGTTTGTATTTTTTATCGGTTTAAAGGACTGATGTGTAGAGGTCTAAAACAAAAGTCTGAAGCAAATTTCCTCAAGGGGAGATTAAAATATATTTTATTACACCAAATTAAATCAAAACAAGGGCAGCATGGAAGTGCAACTGGTAGAGCTGCTGTCTCTCAGCGAGCAGGTCCCTGGTTCAAATCCCGGTCCGCGGGCTTTTCTGGGTGGAGTTTGCATGTTCTCTCCGTGCATGCGTGGGTTTTCTCCGGGTACTCCGGTTTCCTCCCACAGACCAAAAACATGCATGTTAGGCTGATTGGTAACTCTAAACTGTCTCTAGATGTGAGAGAGTGAATGGTTGTTTGTCTCTATGTGTCCCTGTGATGGACTGGAGACCTGTCCAGGTGTCCCCCAAAGTGATTGCTGGACATGGGCACCGGCAAACCCCGTGACCCAAAATGGAAGAAGCGGGTAAAAGATAATGGATGGATAAATCAAAACAAAACTGTGTTGCATTAGGGTATGGTTCTACTGTATATCTTATGAAATCAAATCACTTAATTTCAAATGGAATTGTTTCATTTTGTGACATATTGTATTGTGACATAAGGGTGTGTGTTGTATTGTATCATACTTTGTTGCTTGGTATTGTGTCATCTAGTATTGTTTAATATTTTATTGTAATGTATCATGTTGTAGTGTACAGTGTTGTGTTGGATCAAATCATATTGTGTCGTATCGTATTGTGACATATTGTATTGTGACATAAGGGTGTGTGCTGTATTGCTTCGTATTTTGTTGATTGGTATTGTGTTGTCTAGTACTGTATCATATTTTATTGTATTATATTGCATTTTATCATATTGTGTTGAATCATATCTGATTGTGTTGAATCATGTCGTATCGTGTCATATCGTATTGTGTCATATTGTACTGAGACATATGGGTGTGCGTTGTATTGCATCGTACTTTGTTGCTTGGTATTGTGTTGTCTAGTACTGTATCATATTTTATTGTATTGTATCATGTTCTAGTGTACTGTGTTGTGCTGTATCAAATCATATTGTGTCATATCATATTGTGTCGTATCATATCGTATTGTGTCATATTGTATTGCGACATATGGGTGTGTGCTGTATTGCATCATATTTGGTTGTTTGATATTGTGTTGTCCAGTATTGTTTCATATTTTATCATATTATATTGTATTTTATCGTATTGTGTTGTTTCAAATTGTATTGTGTCGTATTATATCGTATTTTGTCATGTCGTATTGTGTCATATTGTATTGTGACATATTGTATTGTGACATATTGTATTGTGACATATTGTATTGTGACATATTGTATTGTGACATATTGTATTGTGACATATGGCTGTGTGCTGTATTGCTTCGTATTTTGTTGCTTGGTATTGTATTGTCTAGTATTGTATCATATTTTACCATATCATATTGTATTTTATCGTATTGTGTTGTATCAAATCAGATTGTATCATATCATATCGTATTGTGTCATATTGTACTGTGCTGTATCGTATTTTGTTGTATGGTATTGTGCCATATCCTATTTCAGGGCTATTCAACTAAATTGCTCAGGGGGTCACAATTACTGAAAGCCAAGAGCTCAGGGACCAGACATCAAGTAATTTTGTGTTATAAGTTTGTTTTATGGTTTAAAATCTAGTTTAATTTCAAATGAACCCACTGGTGGGCTGAACTGAGCTAACCTGTGAGCCTGATTTGGACCCCGGGCTGCCAGTTGAATAGATCTGTCCTATTGTGTTGTATCACATTATATAATTTCAATTTGATTTGTCTGATATAAAATGCACTCAAGTTCTGTGGCATTGTACCCCACTGCGTTTTATTATCACATCGTAACATGTTGTTTTGTGTGGTATTTTATCAAATTAATTTGCATGGGTCTGCAATGGTGTTGTAGTGTATTATACTTTGTAACATATCCTATTGTGTCAGTATTGTAGCCAATCAAATCTAATTAAATAGGACATGGTATATAAATAACAACTGAACACACAAGATGTAACGAAGAAGTTGAAGCTGGAAAAAGATGTGAAGTGAATGAGAGTGAAAATAATCAATACACCTCACATAACTTTGTTTAGACCTGGTAATTTACATAGTTTTTACTTTGCTGTTATATTTTCAAATTATTATTTTGCTCCTAAGTTTGCTTGTAATTAAATTTTTGAATCCTAAAAACCTTCATGATTGGGGGAGGAGGTGGGGCTCACAGTCCCACAACTCAACTATGAAAACTCTGGCTCCAAACATATAAAATGGCAGCACTATAAACACATATATTTTGGTTTTAGCTTCAAACAATGGGACGAGGCAGCAAACCTGAAACCATCTGTTTCTTTGTGTATTGTTCAGTTCGTTGATCTTTTATCAAATTAAATCTATTTTACTGCCTCGTATCAAATTGTATGGCACTCTATCAAATCAAATTAGGACTCAAAGTCTGTCGCAATGTATTAAACAGATTGAAATCTTAAAGTACTTTATCATATTAACTTGCAGCATATTATAACTGCTTGTTAAATTCACACATCCAATTAAAGCTGTTTTATCCTCATTCTGGGTGTTTATTCATTCTTTTGGTACTAAATGCCAAAACAAAATTACATTTGAGAGCCTTTGTTGTTCTGATTGATGAATACTGTCATTATTTATTCTGCACAGTATAATGATTTTATTTTACAGTAATCTGACATCTCTTGTTTACCCAGAGTTTTCGGAGCTGCCATTGTGCTGACATCCATCCTGAACATGTTCATTCCCTCCGCCGCCCGTACGCACTATGGATGCGTAATCTGTTTGAGGATATTACAAGGCTTGGTGGAGGTACGCACGATCTTGCACATCAGGTGCTGACATTTCAGACTGAAACGACGCCTCATTATCAGGGCCAGAGCTGGGGCTGACCCCTTCGTTCAAACCACCCTGACATTCTCTTTGTTACCACATTTTACACAAATCCTCTGTTGCGTTCTGTTTGAAATTGTAAAAGCGTTCTGTGGTGAAGAGGCTCCCATTCATTAAACTGCACACAGAGTGGTCAACAAACAGCAGGAGACCCTGAAGAGCAGGTCTAGTGTGTCATGGTTTTCTGAGCTGGAACAGCTTCATGTTCACGTTGAAATATGTGGAACAAAAGAGATAAAAACCACTTGATGCAGGCGGCTCCCGCAGCTCAAGAAGAGGCTTCGTTTCAGGGAGGGGAGAGATGCTATTATCAGACTGAAGGTCGTTTCCTTTTGTTGTTGCGTTTAGCTGCACACTGTCGTTTCAGTAGCTCCTCGTGAGCGTTGAGGAAAAAAAGCTGCCTGCGTTCTGCACCTCAACCAATTACTACAAATTAAGCATTAGCATTTCAGGGTGTCTCCCACTGCAAGCCCCAGCAATTTGAATCTATCAATAGCTGATTGTGTGCCACTTAGTGTTTAATGAAGATTTAATGGGAGCAATTCAGTGAATTATTTTCATGAAATGGGGAGTCAGCTCGAATTTGCACCAACTCACACCCGAGCCATTAGTTTCTATTAGAAGGGCCAGCTCCAATACACGTCGCCTTGTCTGTTAATAACTTCAATTTGTCCTGCGAGGCTTTGACAAATAAGAAGAGACTGCGTCCGTCAGGCAGTGAAGCAGGGGAGTGAACATGTCAAACTAGATAACACGTTTTGGTTTTTTTTGTAATTAAATGCTGATAATTTGATTTGAAAATGTCAGATAAAGATGAGGTTTGTTTCTGTGCAGGGTGTGACTTATCCAGCCTGCCATGGGATCTGGAGTAAATGGGCCCCACCGCTGGAAAGAAGTCGTCTGGCAACCATCTCCTTCTGTGGTACAGAATACGTTCTCATGCTGGGGTTGGCACGCACACATTTTATTGCACACTTTAGTGCAGACAGTGAAACAGGTGTAAAATTACACAATATTGTTCCCTAAGCTGTCTGAGCTGACCACATTTGTAACCACCGGAGGGACGAGACTACTCTCTGGGTCAACAGAGGATCACATTCTGCTTAGTCACAGTAACGTGTCTTGTTCAGGGTCGTACGCTGGCGCAGTGGTGGCCATGCCTCTGGCTGGGGTCCTGGTGCAGTACACAGGATGGTCCTCGGTCTTCTACGTGTACGGTGAGCGTCGCTGCAAGGACAACCTTTAAATCACAATCTGTGGCAAATAAAAAGGGAAGCAACTAAAGCGAGGGTGGTGTCTAAACAATGATTTCACACATTTTGTGATTTTGATGCAACGAGGTGACGACAAGGTGAATAATGTGCTGAAAGTACAACTCCATCTTGCTGTTTGTCCTTTGTATGTCATCAATTTATCAGTTGCTCAACACTTTTTTAAAATTTATTTTAGGTTTTTCACATAAAAAAAACCCTTTCACAATATCTAAATTGACATCCTATTAGTATTATACCACATGTGGGTGAAATACACCCAGTCTCGAGTAATACTGAATAAACAAGTACAATTTTACAGTACTGTACAAATGTTTGAATCCACTTATCTTTATATTTAGCTTCTTACAGAAAGTGTGGCTGCTCTGTAAGGTGGTCTTGATCAACAGCTCTTCAGTTTTTCTGAAGGTCTTTACAATAATTCTGTTGCTTTTTCCAGTGATTTTTCTTGTCCAGTCCTTGTGCCTGTCCATGACGACATGTTGTGAAGTTTATGCTTACATTTTTTTTTGTATCTGTTGGGGATGAAGGAAGGGTCAGATATTCCAGTTGATCCTCTGAGCTGGAAGCTCTTTAGGAATCACCATGTTAGAGCTAAAACACATGTCAAACTGTTATTTTGGGTGTTTTCTTAGCTCTTGTTGTCGTAAGTCGATGCCACGGTTGCTCATTTCTTAAGATTGGGAGCCTTTTTATGTCCAAAATGTTGCATACATTTGAAAAACAGAAAAAAACATTCACTGATCAGAGTCAGGCACAGGACTGAAAATGAGTGAGACACTTTTCAAAGAAAACCTTTGAAAGACCTTCAGAAAGCTTGAACATTAACCAAGAGGTTTCAAGATGGTCTGACTTAGAAGGAGAATGTTAAATAAGACACGAGTTGACTCAAACATGATTAACTCTTGGTCTCTTTCAGGATCTTTTGGGATAGTTTGGTACATGTTCTGGATCTTGGTATCGTATGAGAGCCCGGCCGAGCATCCGACCATCACTGAAGAAGAGCGCCGTTACATCGAGGAGAGCATCGGTGAAAGCGCCCAACTGATGGGTGCCATGGAAGTGAGTGGCCCGTCTTGCTTGGTGATGCTGCACCCGATGCTTCATTCAGCTGATTTGTTTTTATTTCTATGATTGTGCAGAAATTTAAGACCCCCTGGAGGAAGTTCTTCTCCTCCATGCCTGTCTATGCAATCATTGTGGCCAATTTCTGCAGAAGCTGGACCTTTTATCTGCTGCTCATCAGCCAGCCTGCATACTTTGAGGAAGTCTTTGGCTTTGAGATCAGCAAGGTAAAAAAAAAAAAAAAGCTCATGAAAAATGTATATTTTTAGCTCTGAACCGACCAGAACAAAGATAATCTCAGATACAAAGAACTCAGTAGAAGTGTGGCTTGGTGTGTGAATAAAAAGCTTGTTATGAATCTACTTTTTGATTTCTATTTTCTCTGTTGTCGGGTGAAAAATTCTAATTTCAGTCTGGCAAAATGATTGCTTATCTATTCTAAACAAACAAATGACAATACAAACATGAAAACAGCTTTTAGTATCATTAACACCATGAGAAGGGTTGATTCAACATTCAGTCTTTTACAGAATTGTTCTAAAACACACAGTTTCTTTCAGCTTTATAGTTTTGTTACATTCCACCAAAGGTTAAACGGCAATAATGTAGCACTCAGTGCGTGTGTTTGTTTGTTAGAAAAATATCACATGAACTGGACAAATTTTATTGAAACGCCCAGAAAGAAAATGTTGGATGTTCATCCACAACTGATTAACTTTTAGAGCCAACACAATTCAAGATGGATGTCACAGCTAATTGGCATTAGCCAACATAAAAACCTTAGATTGACAAATATGGAGCTGAACTTTGGTGTGATAGTAGCTGAGGGTTATTGTCAGCACATACTTTGAGCACTAACAGATCATGTGAAATCCTGCTATAATGCATGAAATTACACTTTTAAGGATGATCATCTTTAACTCTGATTTCTCATCAGAACATGATATAATACTCTAAAACATGATATAATAGTCTAACATGAAAGGCAGTGGGTGGTATGCATTCCTTCAGGGAGTGCTAGGCCTTTAATACTTCAGCTGTCTGCTTTAGTTCACTCTCTGATGAGAACATTTGACTAACCAGTGCAGCTGCATCCAACCACAAAGCTCCCAAAACTCATTTTACACAGACTGCTCTGCACCAAACGGCATAAAACTGGAGTTTCTGTTCTTGTTCAGTTTATTTATTAGACAAGAAGAAACAGCAAATAAGCTGCTGTGGGGAGTCGTGGCGTCAGAGGACAAACCGGAAAATCTGATCTCATGACAGAACATGCTGTAAAGTGTTGCAGTTGTAGAGCAAAGAGTTAAAAGTTGATTGATTTACTCATCTCCAACAAAGCTGCAGCTTGGGACTTTTACAATGTGACATAAACTCCAGATCATGGCGTAGCACTGCTAACAGACAGAAACACTTATAAAACTGTTTTTTTTTTTAAACTCCGTTCTTCTATTCCTCACGCTTTTTCAAGGATAAAACAGTCATAGTTGATGGAGCAGTTTTACATTGTTAATGATGAAAACAAACAAAAAACCCACTCCAGGTCCATGTTTTCTACAGAGAGCGGGCTCATTACCACATTATAAATTATTTTACATGAAAGGCCTAGAGAGTTAACTTTGAACAGAACCTGTTGCCGTTCAGTATTATTACCTCTCATCACCAAACAGTTTTTCATCCAGACAACAGAATTCGTGTAATCATATCTGGTCCTGACGATTGCCCTCCAGTGAGAGAGTAAACCATGAATCAAGCCACGCTGACAGCTGTAATTCAGGCCCAGAACGAGGCGGGATTGTTACTGGGCTGAATTATTGCTCGCTGGAGTCAGAGGTCGACACACAGCAGCACGTTTATCCTCGGACAGTTATGATGGTCTCTTTGTTGCTGTCAGAGTTGCTTCAGACTCATATTTGATGGTTTCTCAGGTTGGAGCGCTGTCTGCTCTTCCTCACCTGGTCATGACCATCATTGTGCCTTTAGGAGGCCAGTTAGCCGACTACCTGCGGACCCACAACATCATGTCCACCACGACGGTCCGTAAAATCATGAACTGTGGAGGTGAGGCTGTCATCAGGTGGCTGCCGGTTCCTCGTGGTGTTGCAGATGTTTCTCATGAGTTATTTATCGTCCGCCTGCTTTCAGGGTTTGGAATGGAGGCGACACTCCTGTTGGTGGTGGGTTACTCTCACAGTAAGGGGGTGGCCATCTCTTTTCTAGTCCTGGCAGTGGGCTTCAGTGGGTTTGCAATATCAGGCGAGTCTTTAAAACATGGATTATTATTTGGAGGATTATTTAGTACTGCACTGACTTCGTGATATTTCCTCCTTTTGCTGAAGGTTTCAATGTGAACCATCTGGACATTGCTCCTCGCTACGCCAGCATCCTTATGGGGATTTCAAACGGAGTGGGAACTCTGTCAGGGATGGTCTGTCCACTTATAGTTGGAGCGATGACAAAGAACAAGGTGAGTGTGTCCTGATGGGAACAGTAAAATGATTTGAAACCCTCAGAGAATATTCAATACAGTTTATTTATAAAGTGCCAAATCACAACAAAGTTGTCTCAGGGCACTTTACAGGAACATTCACATACATAAAGAAGCCAATTAGTAAAGTTCTCTATCTAAGGAAGCAGCAGACCAGTTGAATCTTCACTTCGTCGCAGTCTCCCATCCTGAGCAAGCACAGTGGCAACAGTGGAAAGAAAAAAACTCCCTTTAAAAGGAAGAAACCTCCAGCAGAACCAGGCTCAGGACAAGCGGCCATCTGCTTTGACTGGCTGGTTTGAGAGGACAGGAAGGAGAGACAGACAAACATAGAATGGTAGGTCCAGATATACTGTAGGTCCAGATGTAGGTCCAGATATAGGTCCAGGTGTACCTGAAAAACAAAAACACATGTTAAGGATAGAAAAAATAATTACAAATACAAAACAGGTTGAGCAGAGTAAGTAAAGACAGTAGCAGAGTGAAAAATGTGGTCATTTTGTCCTCCAGCAGTCTAAGCCTATAGCAGCATAACTAAGGGATAACTCAGGAAACCCAAGCTGACCCTAACTATAGGATTTATCAAAAGGAAAGTCTTAAAACTGGACAATGTGTCAGTCTCACAGACAGAAACTGGAAGTTGGTTCCACAAGAGAGGAGCCTGATAACTGAAGGATCTGCCTCCCATTCTGTTTTTGTAAATTCTAGGAACCACAAATAAACCTGCAGTCTGAGAGCGAAGTGCTCTGTTAAGAAAATATGGAACAATAAGCTCTGTAATATAAGATGGAGCTAGGTTGTTGAGAGCTTTGTAGGCTAGAAGTAAGATTTTGAATTCAATTCTGGATTTGACAGGGAGCCAATAGAGAGAAGCTAAAACTGGAGAGATATGATCTCTCCCACTAATTCCAGTTAAGACTCCAGCAGCATTTTGGATCAACTGAAGACTTTTTAAAGACGTATTTGGACACCCAGATAATAAACCATTGCAATAGTCCATTCTAGACGTGACAAATGCATGAACCAGTTTTTCTGCATAATTTTTAGATAAGATGTTTCTAATTTTAGTGATATGATGAAGCGGTTTTGGTAACATTTTTGATGTGGGGATTAAAAGACAAGTCCTGATCAAAAATAACGCCAAGGTTTTTAACTTTAAAACTGGAGGCCAAACATTTATTTCTGTTTTTAGACAAAGTACTGGTTATTTATTAATAGAGAATGTCACCAAATGCAGTTTTTTGTAGTTCAAAAGATGTTCTTTAGGCACCAAATATGTCCTGGAAAAATCATTTTTTACTTGTTATGAAATTACTATATACTTTGTATGTACGTGGTAGTTACAGGGTATGTACAGTGCCTTGCGAAAGTATTCGGCCCTCTTGAACTTTTCAACCTTTTGCCACATTTCAGGCTTCAAACATAAAGATATAAAATTTTAATTGTTTGTGAAGAATCAACAACAAGTGGGACAAAATCGTGAAGTGGAATGAAATTTATTGGATGTGTCAAACTTTTTTAACAAATAAAAAACTGAAAAGTGGGGCGTGCAATATTATTGGGCCCCTTTACTTTCAGTGCAGCAAACTCACTCCAGAAGTTCAGTGAGGATCTATGAATGATCCAATGTTGTCCCAAATGACTGATGATGATAAATAGAATCCACCTGTGTGTAATCAAGTCTCCGTATAAATGCACCTGCTCTGTGATAGTCTCAGGGTTCTGTTCAAAGCGCAGAGAGCATCATGAAGACCAAGGAACACACCAGGCAGGTCCGAGATACTGTTGTGGAGAAGTTTAAAGCCGGATTTGGATACAAAAATATTTCCCAAGCTTTAAACATCCCAAGGAGCACTGTGCAAGCAATCATATTGAAATGGAAGGAGTATCAGACCACTGCAAATCTACCAAGACCCGGCCGTCCCTCTAAACTTTCATCTGGAACAAGGAGAAGACTGATCAGAGATGCAGCCAAGAGGCCCATGATCACTCTGGATGAACTGCAGAGATCTACAGCTGAGGTGGGAGAGTCTGTCCAGAGGACAACAATCAGTCGTACACTGCACAAATCTGGCCTTTATGGAAGAGTGGCAAGAAGAAAGCCATTTCTCAAAGATATCCATAAAAAGTGTTGTTTAAAGTTTTCCACAAGCACCTGGGAGACACCAAACATGTGGAAGAAGGTGCTCTGGTCAGATGAAACCAGAACCAAACTGTTTGGCCACAATGCAAAACAATATGTTTGGCGTAAAAGCAACACAGCTCATCACCCTGAACACACCATCCCCACTGTCAAACATGGTGGTGGCAGCATCATGGTTTGGGCCTGCTTTTCGTCAGCAGGGACAGGGAAGATGGTCAGAATTGATGGGAAGATGGATGGGGCCAAATACAGGACCATTCTGGAAGAAAACCTGTTTGAGTCTGCAAGAGACCTGAGACTGGGACAGAGATTTATCTTCCAACAAGACAATGATCCAAAACAAAAAGACAAATCTACAATGGAATGGTTCACAAATAAACATATCCAGGTGTTGGAATGGCCAAGTCAAAGTCCAGACCTGAATCCAATCAAGAATCTGTGGAAAGAGCTGAAGACTGCTGTTCACAAACGCACTCCATCCAACCTCACTGAGCTCGAGCTGTTTTGCAAAAAGAATGGGCAAGAATTTCAGTGTCTCCATGTTCAAAACTGTGTACATACCTGGTACAAACCTGGTACTTGATGGATATATATTCAATAAGTATTTGATTTTTAGGTTAATACCAGGTACACACAAAACAAGAACAAGGTAACAAATCACTTAATAATCACTTAATAACACAGCCGGGTACCTGTAGTTACCAGGTACATACAATGCTGTATTATGAATCAATATTGTTTCCTGGTTTTAGGTAATACACTTTTATTCATAAAGTACACCTGTCAAAATTGCAATCACATGTTTTTTTTGTAACAATTTTAGCAATATTAAACAATAAAAGTCTTCTCAAACTCTACCCTATAACAGGCTTCTACATAAATGTATAAATACTTCCACTAATTCACATAATTTAATATCAGAAAATAATGTTTACAAGTCTGGAGCAGCAGTAGCTTAGTGGTCAGTAACGTTCTTGTAATTGTGAGGCCGCAGGTTTGAGCCCAGGTTGTGTCAGAAAGGGCATCCGATTAAAAATATTTGTGAACATTTTCATGTGAGTACACTCACTGTGCAACGCTTGAAGAAGAGAGAAGCTGAAAGAAAAACAGCAATAATAATGTTCAGAAGTTTATTATCCGGAGAACACTGCGATGTTCAAGAGGAAAGCCATCATTCTATAAAAACACTGTTACACTGTATGCACTCAACTGAAAATGATAAAGCAAGCTTGAAGGCATCTGTGAACACAAATTATGAAATCATAAATGGTAAATGGACTGTACTTATATAGCACCTTTCTATCTTATCAAGATATTCAAAGCTCTTTACAACAATCTGTGTCCTCATTTGCCCATTCATACAGCATTCTACTAGATCTATACACAGAATAATCAGAGCTTTATCACATTCATACACTGATGGGACACACATCAGAGGCAATGAGGAGTTCAGTGTCTTGTCCAGGGACACTTCAGCATGTGACTGCTGGTGGAATCGAACCCCCAACTCTTGCATTGGAGGACGACTGCTCTAACCACTCAGCCACAGCCGCCCCAAATTGTGAAACAAATATATTAATTTTATTGCAAATGATAAGAAAATGTTTGGAGAAAGGCAAACACAGCCTTCCAGCACAAGTACAATACATTTATAAAACACGGTGAAGGCAGTTTCATGGTTAGGGACTTTTTTTCCTTTAATTCATTTGGTGCATCTGGGACAACACAAAACCCAAAAATATCTTAACACTCAAACTGAATCACCCTCAAGAAAAAAATAATTGCCATGAAAGATACAAACAATTGCAACAACAAAGGTTCTGCCAAAATCAGAAGGAAGGTAAGGTTTAAAAAAAGCCACATCAGAATCCTAACCATAGTCAAAAAGGAATGTTGAGGAGGAACTGGTGAGTTGGATGTTTTCATCTACTTTTAGGACTTGCATGGTGGTCTCTTGATCATCTGAGTGATATTTGTACAGAAATAAACATTTGAATGTACAAACTTGCACAGTGTCTTATGAATGCCTTTACTTACTCTTGCTCCATCTCTGTCTGTTCTTAGACCCGTGAAGAGTGGCAGTATGTCTTCCTCATTGCCTCCCTTGTGCATTATGGAGGGGTGATATTTTATGGGATCTTTGCCTCCGGGGAGAAGCAGCCATGGGCAGACCCTGAAGAAACCAGCGAGGAGAAGTGTGGCTTCGCGGACGAGGACGAGCTCGCCGAGGAGACGGGCGACATAACGCAGGGATACGGCGCAATGGGCGGCCCGGCTAAGAGCTACGGGGCCACGGCGCAGTTGAACGGAGGATGGGTCCAGGACTGGGACAAGACGGAGGAATATGTTCAGGAGCCAGCAGGAAAGATGTTCACCCAGCGTGGCTACTCTTAAACCGCCCAGCTGTGGTGAGCCTGCTGTAAAAACAGACTCTCCATCGCGGATTGCACAACCCGTAGACAGTTGTTCCAATTCATTTTGTGTGTTCAAGTAGTTTCAGATGAAATGTAACGAAATAGAAATAATTACAAAGCAGAAAAAAAATATCCTCAGTAGATTCTCATGTTCCTCTTCACACGTGCACACCGTAGGGCTTCACCTTACATACGGAAAGTGTTTGCAAAGCACACTGCAGATCTGCATTGAACGACTTAGACACCCAAACCTCATTGATCTACTTGAACAACGTGAGCCAGACGACGCTGCAGTCGACCATCATGTAGGGGTTTTCTCTAAAAATACTACTCTAATTGCACTGAAACTAGAAGTGTTCGGAAAACAAAAAATCTAATGTGTTTCATGTACTGTACATATCTGTATGCTGTTTCTGTGAGGATATTGTGAATTTTGGGTCACTGATCTGTGTTAACATTAAATATAAAAGGCCATATTTTTCATGGACAGTACCTCCTCAGGGAGACGACGTCTGCTTTGCAAAAAAGGTCTTCATCTTCTTCAGTGAGGCCTACAAATACAAGACAAAAACAGCGTGAGTGAAGTTGACTCGTAGAGTTTTAGTGTGTGTTCGTTGCATGAATTTGCTCAGAGCATTGTTTCAGATGCAGCCGCCTCTCGGTCACCTGTAGTCCTCGCTCAGCCAACTTGCTTCGTCCTTGGGTAAGTGTCTTCAGCCATTATAAAAACTACAATGAACTTTCCAAATCAGGTTGTGACGAGCGACTAATCACAGAGATTTCACAGACAACGGCTCTGACGACATTGTTCATTGGTGTTTGGTGTACATCGCAATAAATTCTGTGTACCAGCTGCCACCTGTTACATCCCGTTCTGTAGAGTAACACTAGCTTGCTGTATCTGATTGTACTTGTTTTGGAGTCATGTGATCAGCATTAAGGTGTGTGTTTTAACGGGTTCCTGGCGTCTGGATTGTCAGCTTTCGCGCTCATGAATCAGGAGATGTTGCATTTTGAACAGCGAGGAACGACATGCAAACATCTTAGTTGTTGGTGACCACTTGATGTTTCTTGGTTGTTGTCCTGACCATCGCAAGTACTTTAAAAGGGATGGTTCCGATCGTTTGAAGTGAGATTCTGTGAACGCTTGTTGGAGATAGCTCTTGGAATGGCCTCAGTTTGGAGAAATATTTATATTAATATATAATTTTATTCTATATTAATTTTGAATCGGTTCACAAGCTCCTGGCTAGTCTAAGCAGGGCCAAGACCAAAGTGAGATGCTGCTGTTTTTAAACACCTCCAGTATCAAAAGAATTCCTAGTGGTCCATGCAAATGCAGTTTTATAAACCACTACACTGCTGTCAGGTTTGCATTAGGCAGAGCACTGCTTCCTACATGTTGAGGGATTGCAAATATTCTAGTAGAAGTATTTTGATATTCCTGTAGAAGTGCTACAGCTAGCTGCTGGTTCTATTTGCGCTTGCAGTTATTCACAATTATACAATAATGTTTGCAGGAATCGTTATAAATATATATATATATATATATATTTTTGAAACCAGAGTAGAATAAAAGTCTTTTTACAAACTGAAGTTGTTTAAAGAGCTATCTGAAACAGGTAAGATATTGACTGCTCATAACCTTCCCGCAGAACTTCACTTCTTAAACACTTAACTGTGCTTTTAACGACACGTTGATATTGTAAACACTTGAGTGGACCACATGAATTAAATAGATGCTCTTCCACTTGACTTTATTTGCTTTTGAAACACTTTATTCTTCATTTGCTGTATGAAATCTGCAAGAATGTTTAAAATATATGAATATATAAGAATGTTTAGGTGACCAAAAGATGCTATTATGGCTTCGTGCCTGAGGTTTATGTAAACAGATAAATGTGATTTTTCGCTTCTATAATTGTGTTTAATGAAGAGGTATGTTGATGTCAAAAAGTGTTATAAAAATACTCATATGCTTTTTATAAAAAAATAACCAAAAACTTCATATGTTGTCCTGTGTTTTGGTGATTTACGGTACTCCTCACAACTCTGGACAGACTATTTAACCATGTCCACGTTTCTCATTGGAAAATCAATGTTAGAGGCGTCTGGAGAGCAAAGAGATTAGTGGAGCTCGTACACTTACAGGAACAGTAATGTTAATGCCGTTAGATTTAACGTCCTTACAAACAGGACTGCTGGCTGTAGCTGCTAAGACTTTTCAATTTAATTTGCAGTGAAGAAGCTGAAGAAGGTGTCATGTTGGAGAATCAAAGTGCACTGAAGCACGGACAAACAAAGATCACATCAGGAAACAAAAAGTACCACAACTGTGGAAGATAATCAGGCGTCATGGTGGACTTGTTTTCCTGGATATTTTTTCTTGGGGTTCTGTTACTTTAATCTCAGAATTCTGAATTTAATCCTTAAATTCTAAAAAAAAAACTGTTTTCACCTTGGCCCTCATCTTTTGTACACAACTGTGAGAATGTGAGGCAGAATATTTTCTGGACCTTGCTGCACATTTTTCTCCTTAAAATCTGCAGCATTTGCTCTATTTTTTTTTTACTTCTTGTGCTTCTTTAAGCTTTTAATTATTCTGCTTTTAGCTGAAAGCTAACTAGTCTTTTGCTGATTTTAGCTACTCTTGTGCTACTTTAAGGTTTAAGCTAGTAGTTTGCTATTTTTAATTAACCTTTTGCTCAATATAGTATAGTATAGTAACTAACATTTTGCTGTTTTTAAATACTATTTTGCTACTTTAAATAATTGGCCAGTGTTTGATACTTTTACCTAGTGTTTTGTTAATTTTAGCTAGGTATTTTTTCCTTTTGCTTTTAGCTTGTATTTAGCAGCTTTAAGCTTTCAGCTAGCATTTAATTTCTTTTAGCTTTTAGCAAGTATTTTGTTACTTTTAGCTAGCATTTAGCAGCTTTTGGTTTTTAGCGAGTGTTTCTTCACTTTTAGTATTTTTCTAATTTTAGCTGGTGTTTTGCTTTTTTAGCTTTTAGCTAGAGTTTTGCTACTTTTAGCTAGTAATTTGCTACTTTTACTGTTTTTAGCTAGCATATTGCTACTGTAAATGATTAGCCAGTGTTTTGATATGTTTAGCTAGGGTTGAGCCTATTTTGCCTTTTAGTTTGTATTTAGCAGCTTTTAGCTTTCAGCTAGTACTTAGTTTCTTTTAGCTTTCAGCAAGTATTTTGTTCCTTTTAGCTAGCATTTTGCTGGTATTGGTTTTTAGCTAGTGTTTCGTTACTTTACAGTTTTTCTCATTTTAGTTGTTTTGCTTTTTTAGCTTTTAGCCAGAGTTTTACTACTTTTAGCAAGTGTTTTGCTAATTTTGGCATTAACAACTCTGTTTAGTATCTTCATCAAATTTTAGAAGTCATCTGTCACCCAGTGTTTCCACTACTTTTCACAGAAAGCTAGATTATTATTATCATTTTAATAATATAAGATAAAACAGTCTGGGGTGGGGGGTCCAGTTTTTGACCTGTGCTTCTCTGTGAACGATGGACAGTTTGGCTGTGGTAACCTTCAGCTGCTGACTGATGCCTGACAGACCAGGAGGCAGCTTCGTGTCTGAACCAGCAGCAGACTGGCAGCGATCACAATAAATCTCTGTTTGTCTTCTGATTATCCAACCTGCCCAGAAAGGAAGCCATTAATGCTCCCGCTGCCTCTGAGAGCACGTTAATTTGACAGAAAACGCAATTGTGTCACCACTCATGTGGAACATGTTTTCTCCTGCCTAACCAGCCAGTGGTGGTCATGGCTGTTACACCTGTGACGGGTGCCTGTTAGGACACAAAGCAGTCAAAACCTGTCAGCATTTGCAGGTGAAGCTCTCTCAGCGCTCTGCTGCCTGCAACATCAACACTTTCTTCTTGCTGCTCCTCAGGCTCAGTTATTTGTTTCTGGTTGTGTAATCTTTGTGTGAGTGAAGGGTGTTGGTTGGGGGGGGTTGGGGGTGTGTGACTGAGTGGGGTCGGTGGGGGCAGGTGCAGTTTAGCTCTTGGGGGACTGTAATGGGATGAGGCCCAGCCAGAATGAGTGTTTGATCACAGGGTTGCACACTTCCCCCGAGACTCTCTGCATGCAATTATCCTCCTGATCCCTCCTCCAGAAAGTCCACAGCATGCCCTCCCAACCCCCTCCAACCAGCATCCCATAATTTCCAATGGAAAATTCAACTCCATCACATGCTAGGAGATCATGTAATTACAACCCTCCATTTCAAAGTGCTGTTGCAGTAATTACTGTTTTATGACAACCTCCTGCAAGGCAATACACTGCCTCAGGGCACCCCCCCCCCCCCTCCTCCTGTCTTAATTGCTTTATTAGTGGAGAGCCAAACGGCATAAATTGCTTTAACACATAATGACATGTTATAAATCAATGCTCTCGCCCCAGTTTGACCCAAACTCAAACCAGAATGCCCTTTTTAAAAGTATATCTTTGTTTCCAGTCTTGATTTTTTAGGATAAGATTGTGCTAAAGATGTCAGCGTGCGGAAAAATCCTCCTTCTGTCAAATGCAAATGAATCTCTCCATCCTGCTTGGCTCCACCAACAACGAGGGCTGCGTGGTGTCAACACACTCATCTGGTGACTTAGATTTATTAATTTTATATCACTCGAGGCAGAGTGTTGTGTGAACTGTGTCTGAAACTAGAGCAGGAAGATATCTAAACTCTGTCGGCTGTTTTCCTCCACAGGACTGATTTCCTACAATAGCATGCGATGTAATCTAGCAGAGGTCCATGGTTCCCCTCCCCCCATATCAGATTACACTGACACCTTCATGCAGGCTTTTATAATATCACACACAAAGAGTGGCAGGATTTAACATGACACGGGTATTACAGGAATAGAATGACAAAATAGTTCAGCTTTAAGGTTTTGTTTGATTCTAGTGAACAAAAACTGCAGATTATTATCATTATTATTATTATCATTATTATTATTATTATAATTATTGCCCGCCGCCAAAGGCGATAATGTTTTTGCCCACGTCTTTGTTTAATTGTCTGTTATCAAAATGTCATATAACAATGTTCAGTCAGGTAATCTGGACAGTTTCTGAAACATGTCCAGATTACCTGACTGAACACTGTTGGATTGTGTACCTGGATTATTGAGCATGGACTTTGTTGAAAATGTCATATACATTATATAAAAGATTGCACGTTATTTTAAATGTTTGACTAAAATAGCTACAACTTTGTCGTGAAATATCTTAATCTAATATTAGGCATGAAATTATTCTTTAAAGACTGTGAGCAATATTATTAATAATCATTAATCACTTTTTATTTATAAGTATTTCCTCAAACTCTATAAATAACTTTTAAAGTCTCCAAGGCCCAAATAAAGTAACATATTTTTCAGCCACAGTTTTTTGCATAATTTGCATGCCCTACAACTTATACGCCGGAGAAATGTATTTATGGATTTTTTCTCATATTTATAAACATTTTTTGTCTGAGATTTAACCTTTTTCATTCATTCTGACTGAAAATATTGAACAAGCCCATTTTAAGCTGCTAGATGGCGCCTGAGGTGTATGGCATGCCGTTGTATCATGCAATAGGTAAAAGTGGCTATTAATGACACAATAGGCTTGCCATAGACTGCCACCTTCGTCCAGCTCACTTGGGGCAACCATCAAATCATCTTCATTTTGCTGCACCGCCCCGGCAAAAATGCAGCTAATTTGACCACTGAAGTGTATTTTTTAAGTAAAAGTTCAACTGAGACACACCTTTACTATAATTTCATGCAAACACATAATTGTTTTAGGTGTTTATCCTGTTAAATTTTGAAGAAATGCACAGCGAGTTGTTCCTCTGCATGCTTCCGCGAATTGGGTTTTGAAATGCAGCTGATTTGACCGTCAAAGTGCATTTACTAAAGAAAAGTTAGACTGAGACACACCTTTACTATAATTTAGAGCAAATAATTGTTTTTAAATGTTAATCTTGTTAAATTCTTGTTAAAGTCCTCCCGTGCACACTCCTGCAGCAGCCATTTAGCAGCCAGTCGATTTTTGGCACAACACCGGTCCATATTTCCGGGTTGTCAGCAGTGATGCATAATAAATGCAACTTATATGATGAAGCAACGTATTTAAAGAATTTTCCACTTTATTAAACATTTTTGGACTGATGCGACTTATAGGGCGGTGTGACGTGTACGGCGGAAAATACGGTAATCAGTTTAGTTTTGATTTTATATTAAGGATTCCTAACAGGGAAAGTTGCTTGAATTTGTTTAAATGTTTAATTGGTTTAAATCTCAACTCACTAATCTATTGATGAACGGAGCACTATTTAAATTTTTACAGCATCTCTGGCTTCAATTCAACTCTTCCTTCCCTAAGAATAACTCTGCAACCACAGCATCTAAATGGGAATCTGAGCTGATGTTTTTTTGTAAAATGTGTCTTTCATTAAAAATAAATAAATAAAATTTGACACGTTAAGACGTCACAGCCTCTTTTCCTTCTGATGATCTTGGCCACTGATGAGGTGCTCTGAGTGGGACACAGGTGTGCTCAGGGGTCCCCCACTGTGATCAGTCCAGGGTCGAGCTGGAGCAGCTCCGGCACGTGCCGAGCCTCCCCCACCCTCTCCCCTCTCAGGAAACTCCCTATTCACACCACCAGATGGTGGCTGGATCGGAGTTTTAATGAACGTTATCCTTGGTGACCCTTTGGAAGCAGCCAACAGCAGTGTCCCCTGACACCCCAATCCTCCCTCAGCACGTCTCAGTGCAGTATGCTACCCCCCTCACTCCACCCCCAGGCTGGCAGAGACACAATACCACACTGAATGGAATATAAATGAAAGGAGGGGCGGACATAGTTAAAACTGAACATCAATATGTGCATTCTCCTGTCTGGGGGAGAAATACTGAAAAACAGTGAGAACAGACATCAGGAAGGATGTTTCGTCTCAAAGTAGCAGCTTGATGCAGGCGCAGCTGCTTGTATCAGCGCACTAAAACTTGTTCTTCGCAAAGGTTTTCATGCTTGAGGGAATTGTTCCAATAAAAAAGGAGAAAAATGGCTTCATCTTTCATGTGAACCGTTGCAGGCAGAGCTCTAAAACTGTCATCTTGCAGGGTTTTGTTTTAAAGTCAACACGTCTGAGTCATCGCCCGGACTGCTGCTAACCTGCACTCAGTTTAGTGTCAGGCTGTGAAAGCAGAGCAAAACCACACGAGCTGTTATTTGTGGTGTAAAATCTTTATAATTTCATAGCATGTCTTGAAAACACTCCGTTACTGAATACATTTGGACGCAACAAATCAGGTTAGAGCCCTCATTCCTCGTGGCTGGCTCTCATCCAGCCTGACGCATTTGTTTTTATTGGTTGGGAATAAATTGGTTGTGTACAAGCTGCCCTTTGCTCAGTGACCCTCGTCTGTCTCTACGTGAATTGCTTTCACGGTGGGTTTAACGAGCCATGGCTGTGTTGGTGTTCCCTCCACACACATACTGAGGGTAGGGCTCTAATCCACCATCTGACAGAGAGGAGGCCCCCGCTCCACCTACTGCGGCTGCTCTGACGCCAAATCTGACTAATTGATCCCTCATCACAGAAGGGTCGTTGCAGGAGGACCCAGGTCTGAGATGTGTAAATCGGTGGTCGAGTCACGACTCCATAAATTCAATACGTGTTGGTTTAGTGAACGTAGAGACGGGGAAAATACAAACAGGGAACACTGGGTTTCTTTTTTTTCCCGTTATTTATTTGAATTTTTGCCTTTTGTTACAATTTAATATCCAAATTATTTCTGAAAACGTCAACTCGTTTGTTTTCTGCAGCTGAAGAACTTTAACTTGCCGAGCGACAGATCACAGAACGTCAGGATGGAAAATACAAACAGCGCTGAAAGAACATTTAAAAAAAAAAAAACATGTTTGTATAATTTACTGACATTTAGAAGTTGTTTCAGTCAGGCCAACCTATCGCTAATAAAACTATTTAATTCACTGATGAAATGCATTTTGTCTGCCATCTTTCAGTTTTAAACTAAAACTACTACATTAAACTTCAGCTCAATATCTGTAAAACATTATACCCATTAATGTTTGGGCTAAAGTAGCTGTGGTGATCCCAAGGGTCATTTTCTGAGAGGTTCATTAAAACCTGTCCAGTGATTCACAAGATATTTTGCTAACTGGCAAACACACATACAGGCAAAAACATTATTGCCCTTCATCTTTGGTGGTGGGTGATAATGTTATGGTGCCACCCATCCAAACCCTGTAAACAGCACTTTTCTTCAATAAAACGGAACAAACTAAAAATAAATAAAACTTTAAACCCACAACATCACAAGGAAATTATTTCAAAACAGTTTTTTAAAAACAAAATAATTTAACTAGTTTTTTTCACTGTATCTGAGCTTCAACAAATAAAATAAATTTAAAAAAACAAGTGGTGGTGCAGAGGTTCGAGAAGGTGGGCCTGTGATGGGAAGGTCGCTGGTTCAACTCCCCGGACCGACAACATCAAAACGTGGGTGGGAAAGGTGAAGCACATACACCTGCCTCCAACCCCATTTGCCTCATTCTGAGCCCTTGAGCAAGGCCCTTAACCCCCACCATCTGCTCCCCGGGTGTCCTAGACAGCAGCTCTCTGCTCCACACAGAGGCTGTGGTAGCTCGGTGGTCTGTAGCTGCGTCAGGAAGAACATCTGGTGTAAAAACAATCCCCAAGTCTTCATGCGAGCTAGTTCACTGTGGTGACCCCCTGAAGAAGAGAGCAGCCGAAAGCATTTTACTTTGATGTATTTGGAACTAAAACAACAACAGAAAGATAAGAAACATTTGCTTATGATACCTGTCATTTAGCATTGTCTGATACAAACAATAATTTGCATCTTTCTTGTTACAAAAAGAACAATCTTTCAAATAACTGCATGTTTTTGCTTAATAGGTGTTAAAATGTTGCATGAACTTGCACATCTATGAACAAGCCGTCATAAAATGCAAACTGAAACAGCTACAGCTGCACATGTCTTATTCCTGCAGCATACTTAGTTTAGATTCCTAAAAGGCACGTGCACAGATCAATGTGCAAACATTTGACCTCAGCTCCAACAGTCACTTGTTTAATGCAGACAGAAGGTCTCCCCACACACTCAGTCCCTGGACATCAAAGTCTCCATCAGCAATCTTTAAAGCGTTTAGCTCGTCTTCTGCTTGCCTCCTCAGCGAGGGGCAGGCCTCAAACAATAACAGGAAGTGCTCAGTCAGGCTCTGAAAGGACACCGTGGGGATGGCGCCGCTATGAACCCATTCACCGTCACATATTGTGTACTCCATCTCTGACGCCCACTGTTTCAGCCTGTCGCAGAACGCAGCTCTGAATTTTCGGTGTCTTTTCAGCAGCTCCTGGAGAGTTGCAGAAGGCAGCGCAGAACACATGCTCTGCAGCACGGCGGAGTGACGCTGCAGCCAGTCCAAGAGAAAGTCCTGCGAGGCCGTTTGTTCAGACGAGTGTTTAGTCATCAGCAGAGCTGCAGAGATGACTAGACACAAACGATGTGCTGCTCCTTGAAACACCTGAAGGACGGAGCACAAAAAGTGCTCTGCCCGGCAGAGGTCGGTGCATTCTTGGCTCAGTCTCTCCATCAGCATCTCCCCCTGCACCTCAGCATCAGCACCAACAGCTGACGGACCGCAGAGAGGACGCAGGACTTTACAAACTGACCTGCACTGAATGATGCGGCTGCAGAGGCCAGGGACATCTTCATAGTCACTCGTCAAGACCTTACCGGGTCCCTGAGATTTAAAAAGTAGCTTCAAGATGGAGACGGGCAGCTCAGGGTTGTGCAGCAGCCCGACCAGCAACAAATCTCGGCAACGTGGGAGGTCCGAGAAGGAAACTTCAGCACATCCAGGAAAGACATTGCTCAAGCTTTGATTTGTGAGCTCCAGCTGTTTCTCCAGAACTCTTCTTATGGCCGGGTTATTGTGGAACCTGGAGTAGATGTGCTCGCAGTACTCGGCCCAGTGGAAAGCCCTGGACAGGGCCAGTTCGTCCCAGCGCTCCACCACAGCGCAGTGGGCCGCCACGGCCAGCAGCTCCACGGCCTCCGACAGGTTCTTCAGCAGCGCCTCCATGATGTGGCGCTCTCTGCATTCAGTCCAGCTTCTGGGCCCCAGGAGGAGCACCGGCTGAGAACAACACACACGTTCTGAATAATGACCCAAACTGTCCTCACGTTAGGAGAACAAACGCTACAATCGAGCTAAAACACCGAGTTAGCTTCGAGTTAGCAGTTAGTGACGGTAAACGAGACTTCCGGAGGAGCTTTTTACAAATAAATTACATTTTAAGAAGCATGATAGGTCGTAGCACATGTTTGACCGCTATAAAACAATTAATTGCGACACACTGTTATGAATTAAGTTTCTGTTGTTGGGAACTCACTTGTGTTTTCTGTTTTTCTTCAGCCGGTGTTCCGGGGTTGAGTTTGAGCACGACTGCGCATGCGTACTGACCTGCCAACCTGTCGCCCTTCAAAATAAAAGCCACCTGTTGACATAAAATTGACATGCATCCCACCTGGTTGTAGTATGTAACACACATGACGATAGTTTTACTCATTTAAGGAATTTTTTTGGCATACATATATGCATGGTGATATAGTTCAATCATGTCATGTTGTCGCGTGTATGGAAGCCCATTTCTGCCACTTCAAATAAGATATTCTAAAGGCATGCATGTACTAAAAAATACAAGAGGTGAAAGAAAACATCTGGCATACACACACACACACACACACACACACACACACACACACACA